CCCCAAAACCCCAAAACCCCAAAACCCCAAAACCCCATTTTATTAGCAAAATATTGAATATAAATTATTTCTTCTTTTTCCTTCTTGTAATGCCGAGTGCAAAGACAGGATTATGCTTGTTGCCTGAGAAGCTCCTCTTTGTGCTATCTCCTTTAGGCGGTATGAACTGGGTTTTCTTATCCCCAATAGCTGTTGACTTATTGGCTTTCCGGTGAGATTTGTACCTCGCTATTCAGGTTAAATGGACTCATTACATGTTGAAATTTTATCTGTTAAAGTCAGGTTGTTCCTATTAGATGCATTTGTGGAAATATTATCTACAAGTTAGGCCAATCGCCCTACATGTCTTCTGAATATCGAACTTCCCAACGACATTCTTGTCATATCAGTTGATATTTGATTTATTAGATGAGTCCATGCTGATGGTGTAAGAAGGGATTATATTGAAAAGCATGGACTTCTTCTCAGATTTATTTATTTGAACCTACTAATCTAACACAGAAGCTTACTCTTTTTCCTCCTTGTGGTCGCTCTTATATAATCATCGGTGTTTCTTCCATCACTGATAGGCGGCTTGTTTATTGAAGCTATTGTAAGATTAGACAGACATGGTGTACCTAGATGATGGAGGGATATCTCTCCAGTCCCACTTCTGTAAATTTTGTCTTGGATATTCCTACTCATGTTATACTTATTTTTCAACATATTTAAGTTGTTAGTCCTGATGCTGTCCAGCCGCTTCGCTTCAGCAATGAACTCTTTACTCTTGTTGCTCCTCTTTTCATACTTCTTTCTGCTAGAGAGGGATTTTATTGAGAGACATACTTAAGGTTCGCCCGACGATTACTCCTGCCTGACTTTGAAGATGCCCGTTCATAACTTTGAGCTATTGTTGCATAAAACTTCTTTGGTTTATTAGCTTCCTGTAGCTCAGTATTGCTCTTAATCAAAGATTTGATGTAATTGGTTTGAATCTGGCTTCTCTTTTTGCCACTTCGTGAGCGATTACTTGGATTATTAAATAAGCTAAACAATCAGAAACTGCCATTACTTCAACTTCTGAGTTTTATTACGTGAAGAATCTTTATGAATTCTGGTTGTCTCCACACTTTTGTTATTCTTGTGGTAAAAATCATGAAATTTCTCCTCTCTCAACTTAGAAAAGTCAAATTTTATTGTCTATAAAGTCAGGATTTTGACATTACTTTCTCTTGAAACTTGATTTTCTCAGGTATTTTAGCCCTAGTAGACATATTATGCGAGTTTCTTAACTCAGGAGGTTCACTGATATCAATAGTTGGCTCAGTGTAATTATTCCCTGATTCTCCTTGAGACGGGACTTGGATATGCGGCTTGTTTGTTTTGTATTTCATTCTTTTCTTATAATAATTATCAATTGTATTCCACTGATCTATCATCTTCTGGTCCTTCAGATTATAATTACCTCTCTCAAAAGTAGCCTCACGCTCAGGAGAATCATTGGGCTTTCTAGGGAATTTCCAAGTAGTGATTTGACTGTTTTCAAATCTCTTATTTCACCTCAATTTTAAAATTGGCTAGCTCGATCTCCATGCGTTCATTAATATACCGTTGCCTGGTAAGTGGGCCTCAGGCATAAGCAGCAATGTAGCCATTGGAGAGTCTATTTTCCTGCATGCTAATAGGTAAATTCTCTACTGATCTTGCTTCATTTTTCCGATTAATCTCTTGCTGAAATCTTTTTTCAAGGCGTTTCTTCATGTAATCAAGCCTATTCATGTTACTTTGGGAAGGATCAGCCTCCCTCCCACACAAGTTTAAGAATACCTTGTCTGCCGAGCCCTGCTTAGATTTACTGCTGATCCCTTCTGCCTATATTTTTATGGATTTTGGTAATACAATTGAGAGAATAGGAATTTAGTTAATGAGCTAGGCTTTATGAAATTATTCAAGATCAGGGAAATTTAGGATCAGAGTTTTTGGAAATATCATAAAGTTTAGTTAGAAGAGCTGGGAGCAAAGTTAAGGCTAGAAGGGTAGAGAAGAAAGTTAAGGGATTGTGTATAGCTCTATTTGTCATGATCTTTCTCTGTATAATGCTAATTGATTGAAAGTCCTCAGTGAAGCTACTTGAAATTGCCTTAAAATTAAAAGAAAATGCTAATATTCTCTTCTAGTCTATCAAATTATTTTTAGATAAAAATCATCTATGTTCCTTCAATAAAGCATAATGGTCAGCTATTTTGCTTACCTTTGTTTTCTTAGCACCATCTTTAATATAATTTAAACTTTCATAGTTCCCATCACTAATGGGGTTTTGGGGTTTTGGGGTTTTGGGGTTTTGGGGTTTTGGGG